TCACGAAATGAACAAATCTGAGAGAGGTCCACATGTAGTACTTATATATGTAATATCAAAGCAATTCCACTTGCGGTTTTTAACAAGAAGTCGAAAATATCAGTTTTTACCAAAAATGACAAAAATATTCACCAAAATTAGAGAATTAAAGATATCAACATGAAATGAACAAACCTAAGAGAGGTCTACCCAAAGTACATATACACCAAGTATCAAAGCATTTAGGCTTGTAGTTTTCAAGAAGAAGTCGAAAAAGTAAAACATTGACACGGACGACGGACGACGACGACGGACGACGACGACGGACAATCACTCATATGATAAGCTCCGCTCGACAAAGTCGACAGCGGAGCTAAAAAGCAGGCGATCCAGTAGAGCTCGCTAGATTTCATCTCCACTCGAGGCGGAGAGAAATTAAGAGTGAAGGACGGCTACCTGTGGCGCTGCCAGGTGGCCTCGGTCACGTGGGTTCGTGACGTAAGGGGTAAAAGAATCTTGAGGTCATGGGGCTTCCCCTGACCTGGATTCTATCTCTGCGTCACCGGCAGAATCGCTGATTAATGCCTACAGTTCAAAATAGTCATTTTGACTGACCGGAGTCTATGGTGGGTAATTGAACGTAGTGAATTTCACACATTTTGAAAGGAATCCCGTACCAATCATCACAATTATATTTTTACAGATTATTATACATCTGTCACCGTAAGTTACAGCGTACCGTAATTTTACGGTATTGCACTAGGTATTTTCATCCTACCATATTAGGAAATGCAAATTCCAAATTGCTATCCAATAGTATTCCTTTTATCATAGTTTGTTTCAATATAAATATGCATTGTCATAATAAATTTTGAATACAAACAAGTTTTGGGGTTGAATCAACAGCGGGGAATCAGTCTACCGAATGTCCTTGAAAGATATAAATATCTTAAAAAACATTGGTGCCTAATTTGTTTAATTATTTTAAGAGACATAATTTCCAGCTTTATTCAGAGTAATTAAGATATTTTAGTATAAAAACAAATGCCTCATCGCAGAAAAAAAAGTGCTGCATTTAGATGTGAATAGATTCATAAAACATGCAAGATAATAAAAAATCTTAGCTGGCTTTTGTCCAAGTATTTTGTACAGGTGTATGTCAAAAATTAATGATTCACTGAGACAAATATGAACTGCCTCATTGTGTGACTACTGTATTATATGAAAAGTACAAAAAAACACCCTCTATGAATAGCTATCATGTTGCAAGCTCTGCTTTGTATGCAAATCAACTTAAATAGTTGGTGTCCAGTGGAGAGAGAAGTGAACAGTACTGTTGTTAAAAAAGTTCTATCATTCTGTTCTAATAGCTGAAACAAATTCCTGTGAATTTTCATTTGTCGAATGAACTGTTCGTCAAATACAGAGTACATATATTTTAGTACAATTTTCTTTTCAAAATATGGATGTAACATTTTGCTTTTTATGTATTTTTTATGTATTGTTTTTGATTTGATAACTTTGAACTAAACAGATTTTCTATTAACTTCAGATCTTGATCAAAGTTTGGCACCCAGTTCGAAGGAGTGCTTATATTGATTTTCTGACATCTTGTTTTCTGTAAAGATTTTATTGGTAGGTTTGCAAATGTAAATCAGACTGTGCAAAAAATCTCTCCATGAGTTGGTTTTGAAATCCAGTATAGTATTCCCATGGGATTTGGGAAATACATTATCAAGGATATTATTACAAGATAAATGATTTGCTTCATTGAACACATACAACAAGCATATTTCCACTGAGATCAGTGACCTTTGGTGTGTATCACCAGTGATCAGTCAAGTAGAAACAGTCAAAATATTTTATCAGATTTTCTCAATTTTTGCATGATATTTTCATACAGGACATCTGTTCAAACTCAGGGAGGACTTTATACTGATGAATAAGTTGACCAAATTTGGTGAAGTTTGGAATAAAATTAATAAAGTTATTGTGCACACAATAACAATTATTAGCGACAATGACGACGACAACGCCGGCCAAAAATCTTTCCCTTAATATACCTTTCCCTTCCATCTTTGATGGTATGGGCAAGGTAATAAAAACAAACATAGTAGCCTCCAGAGTTTGACAGGACCCCATACAAAGAAGTTCGCTCAATCTGTGCTGTTCCTTGGGAGGAAAAGATGTATAATAATATGGTTATTACAAAGATACCAAAAAGTGTGCACTCAGACAGGACATGGTCACACTCCACTGACTGTCGGTCCATATCGCTGTATTGTCTTTGAGCATACTTTTTGGTATTCTATTAATAACCTTGCATTAATTCATAGCAAATAATATTTATTATGAATTTGTAACTTACCAAATGATCACCTGCATCTAAATTAGCCAATAATGATGTTGTGATGGCGGCCATTCCACTGGAAAACACTAAACCACCAATACCACCTTCTAACTTGTTGATTACCTCGGCAACCACCTGACATGTATGGTTACCAAAACGACTGTACACATACTCATTCTAGGAATACAAAGGAAAAAGATATCTTACAGTTGATTAGAAATCTGCAATTCTGTAATATCTGCTACCAAGTATTTATAAGGTATAGGTATGCAACTGTCATACCATTTACGTTGATAAGAGATGAAGAAGTGGACTCTCAAAATTTGTGAAAGTTTGAAAGTGATCTCATTCCATGTGTGTCAATTAAATGTAGTTCTAACCAACAGTGTCACAGAACACAGTGGGTATTTAATAATCTTAATTTGGGGATACTGAAATGAGCATAATTACCGCTGATTCACTCTAAGATCGTCTGCCACAAAAATTAAACAATTTGAATTTGAACTTGAATTTTTTTATAGCTCTATATCGAAATGTGAATTTTTGAAAGGGAAATATTGTTCCCTTACTTCATCATAATTGACCATCATCAAATGTGCATATCTCATTATTAAATGTTTGTTGATTTCACAAATAAAGTGGGATCTCGCAGGGATATCGCAATTTGCGTGACTTATTCAAATCACATGTCATCTTCATTGCATATCACACCTGTGAATACTTCATAAATTTTTGCTCATACAATAATCAGTAATATTAAATAGAACTAATGAGAATGTCATCTCAGTTTGTACATTTCATCTTATTCACAAATAATGGAAAATAAATGTATTAAATATACACTATGTTTTACATTGTAATTGCTATAAAATTAAATCCGTATTAACTTGTACAATTTTATGTACGTGAAACGATTTGTGTACCTTGATTGCTTCGGCAAAATCCTCACATTTGTCTATTTCATATGTGGTAGCCACAGATATGGGTGGCACTACTGGTCGTGCTAGTGACGCTTTGTTTCTTGGTATACTTGTTACGGCTATAGTCTCTATGTGTAACTCAACACTGTCATGATAACTCTCTGGAACACCTTCCAGATGTAAATAATCAACATTTTCTAACTTGCACTTCTTTTTTGGACTGAAAGACAATATTATAAACCACTAGAAAACATGGGTGTAAGACATTAATAGAGACATTATAATCATAACTTTATTACTCAACTCAATCATCTGTGGAAATAGTATCAAATGGAAATTGATGTTATTGTTTATAAACTAAGGTACAATTGTTTCTTTTCACTGTAGTGTTCAAAATTACATGACAGGAGTGAAAGCAAAAGATATCAAGGACAGACTGCGTCATATGAACTTATACTGTCAAACTGTTCTTGCTCATGCTTTTTCTTAATTGCATAATGTGTTATTTGTCTTTTTGAATATGTCGATGACCCTGCTTACTTATGTTAAACCAATCAAAGTTGATCAAACATCCACTGCACTCTGTGGTAGGTAGTTTGACATTTGATTGATGCTCAAATGTAACTGAAATAGGATTTTCAGGCGATCAAGTATGGAACTTTAATAATCATGTACCAGAGGTGGCAGCACCAAATTTTGCATGGGAGGGGGGATCTGTTCACCAACCTCGTGCCGAATACACGACCTTACTAGAGGGTCTAGGGGCATGCTTCCCTTACAAATTGGAAATCTAGACCCTCTGAAACGCTATTTCCAGCATTTTGAGAGGCAAATTTTGCTGACAGTTTTTTCGAGCCCATTGACGTTGCAGGTTGGTGTCTTCTCTACACTGATCTGATGCATAACACGGAAGGAGGGCTGGGAATTTGTTCAAACTTCGAATTTTTCAAAGTCATTCATCCGCTGGCACATATTTTACAGATATATTAAATCGTTTGGGGGTTTCTTCGCTAAATTATGATAAATGAAACTTAGAAATATTGTAAGAACAAACTGGCCCCAAAATTGCTGCTAGTGTCTGGTTCGAAAGGCACTCTACACATGATTATATTCCAAATTTCAAACAAAAATTTTATTATCGATACAAGACACTTCGCGATGGGCTTCTTTTGCAGTCAGTAATATTTACTAACATTTTTGTTCATTACTTTATAAACTGGCTTGGCAATTCTCATCACCAATTACACTTTTAGATTTAGACTTTTTTTCAAAAAATCCAAAATGACTTTCAATAATTTTGTTTATTTTTTTACTATAATTACATTTGAAGTTTTGATAATTTTAATGGGTATACATATTTTAATGAATACGTGTACAAAAATACACCCAAAATTAAGTATATACATAGCCTTGACAAAAAATAATAATGCATTTTTTGTGATCTGTGTAACTATATATGGAGGCTGCAAGATTTTTTTTATATATATATTGTATTCACTACGTTTATTTTGTATTTACATTGATCATGAGGTCATGTGACTACAGTGACTGTTTGGTGTACTCTGCAGTTTTTGTTTTGTTTTGTCGATTGTTGTTAGTTGTTTGCTTTGTGTTCTTGGAATTTTGTGCAAGGTCAAATAGGTATATCATTTTCACTTTGCAGTATATTGTAGACAGTACTTGTATACTTTGTTATCCAGCATAAATATTGGATTGTTCAGAAGCATGAGATTGTAATGTAAATTTTGTTCATTAATGTTGTACGATGACGCTATCTCCGGAGCCTTCAGAGTCCCATGTTGACTATGTCCCGGACTGTTTACTTACTTACTGTCAGTGTCTGACTGGTATATACAAAATGCACCAAGTAAACGTCAGAATAGTAAAACAAAAAAGCCAAAACAGTCTGTCAGCCGCCGCCATTCATAGCAGTGATATGATTTTACACATCAAAATTGAGAATCGCAAGTGTAGACCTATTGCATAGAATTAAACACTAAATACAGCTATCCCGGCCAGCAATCGAATCATCAATCTTCATGAGTGCTGTAACTGGCATTTCCATCAATTTGCTTTCATTCCCACTATCCTAAAATGCTCAAGGGAATGTTGTAAATTTCGCGAGTGTGTGTATTTTCGTACAGTGGCGTAAACATTGCAACAATCAAAGACGTGCTGAACAGGAAGTCTGTTCTGGACTAATACCATTGTAATTTTTTTGAGCAGAGAATCATTTATCCAGGGGACGCTACAGTAAGAAATTGTTAAAATTGCCTGATTGGCATATCAAAATCCTGTATTGAAACAGAACATATTCTGTATTCACTAAAAACAACATTGTTATGTTTCTAGACCTACAACGAACTCGAAACAAAAGAAACAGTTCAATCCAAACAACCTGTGTCCTTGAAAATCGAGTCTTAGCGCCCTTGCGTTTCTGAGCAAAAATAAATTGATGCCAAAAACGACCGAGGGTGAGGTGAGGGACTGAATTTCAAAAACATATTTTATATATAGGGTATATAATTATGTGTATTACGCTGTTCCAAAGACTGAAATACGTATGACGTTAATATTTCTCTCACATTATTTCACTAAAATATGTGACTAAAAAGGAAAAACGTTTATAAATATACTCATGTAAAGAGGTGGTGGAGCGTTATTTTATGACACAGGTCTGTGCTGACAACACAACACATAAATTCCATATTATTACACAAGTGTGAATTTACATGGCAGGACGCCAGTAGACATACCTACACTTTATGCAAATTTATTAAAATTATGCTAATTTACTCATGATGTGGCAGTTTCTGTGCTCATGAATATTCAGTTATTAGTAAGTCAATACATTCTAAAAGGGGCGATATATTATTTTTGGGGGCAAGAGTTAGGGGGTCAATACCAAATCAAAGAAAGCTTAC